TTCAGTGCATAAAATCTATTCTTTAGATGGTCTCTAAATTCAGGAGGGATATTATCAAGGTCATATTTTGGCCCTCGTGGACTTGTTTTAATTATCTTCAACTTCAAGTTGAACTTGCATATGAGCAGTTGATGGTCTATTCCACAATCAGCTTCTGGCTTTGTTTTGGCTGAAGATATTGAACTTTTCCATTGCCTCTTGCCACAGATGTAGTCAATCTGATTCCTGTGTATTCCATCTGGTGAAGTCCACGTGTATAGTCATTGCTTAAGTTGTTGAAAGAAGGTATTAGCAATGAATAAGTCATTGGTCTTGCAAAATTCTGTCATGCAATCTCCAGCATTATTTCTGTCACCAAGGCCATATTTTCCAACTACCGATAACTCTTCTTTGTTTCCAACTTTTGCATTCCAGTCACCAGTAATAATCAACACATCTTGATTGCATGTTTGGTCAATTTGGCTTTGGTGGGTGGTGTGTAAATTTGAATAATAGTCATATTAACTGGTCTTCCTTGTAGGTGTATAGATATTATCCTATCACTGACAGCGTTGTACTTCAGGATAGATCTTGAAACATTGTTTGTGATGATGAATGCCACACCATTCCTCTTCAGTTTGTCATTCTTGGCATAGTAGATCATACAGTTGTCTGATTCAAAATGGCCAAAACCAGTCCATTTCAGCTCACTAATACCTATGATATCAATCTTTATGCGTTCCATTTCATTTTTGACAACTTCCAATTTTCCTAGATTCATACTTCATAAATTTCATGTTCCAATTATTAATGGATGTTTGCATCTGTGTGTACTCATTTTGAGTCATGCCACATCAGCCAGTGGAGGTCCTGAAAGCTTTACTCTATCCATATCGTTAAGGTCATCTCTACTCTGAGGACTCAGCTCTTCCCCAGTCAAATTTTGAGTGCCTTCCAGCCTGATGGGCTAATCTTCTGGTACTTATCAGACAGTATTTCAGTGCTATTCATAAGGTTTTCACTGACCACTTCTTTGAGAAGTGGATGGCCTCTTCCTTCTTCTGAGTCTGTCTTAGCCCAGAAGCTCTGCTGAAACCTGTCCACCATGGGTAACCCTGCTGGCATTTTGCAGCACAGTAGTATAGCCTCCAGCCTTACAGCAACATGTAAGCCACCACAGGACAACAAACTTCCAAAAAATTAGCCACTGAAAACCCTATGGAGCACAGTTCTACTCTGACACCCATGGGGTCACTATGAGTCTGTATTGATTCCACAGCAACTGGTACCTCATAGAGTAAGGGTTGATATGAGGGAAGCCAGGTGCAGCACCTGGCACATAATAGTAAAAGGTGTTCTAGTTTCACTGCAGCAAAATGGGAAGACAGAAAGGTTAGTAGACAGATGCCCCATGTGTCAACATAAAGTCCCTGATACCAACATTCTGCCTCCTGGGTTTTCAGTTTCTGAGAATCTTTTGCCAGCATTTCCAGGCAGTTACATACAGGGCAGTGATGGCCTGGGGTTCCTGTACAGCCTAGCCTCCTGGCCCACCATCATCTGTGTTCCATTCGCTTCCTAGGGCACTTTCTCTTTCCCTGTGGTCACTGTCTACAGAGCCTCCTGCTTTCCTGTAGTTCCACCTTCCCATGGTGATACTCAAGTTGGTACCTTTAGAAAACTGCAGAATGAGGCCCTATCTGCACATCACTTAGGCTAGCACTGGGCAAGATAGCTGAGGCACACAGTTGAGAATTGGCAGACAGGTGGAAGTCAGGTGGACAAACAGTGCAGCTGAGTTGAAAAGAAATGTGCTAGTAGGTAACTAGGGCCTTGAAAACAGGCATACCTGGACTTGAATCCCACTTTTGACACCTACAGTTGTGTGGCCTAACCTTTGCATCATTTGTAAAATGGGATGTTTACTTATGTGAAGATCTATACAGTGGGCTTAGCCTGAGGCCTTCCACACAGTAGGTGTTTGATTAAAGCAAGCTGTTGTTGGGTTTTTTGCTTTATTTATGGTTTTGTTTTTATTCTGGGCTCCTCTTAAGACTCGGTCTCTCTTGTTTCTTGGAGGTCAGGTTGCCAAACTTTTCCAGGACTCGAGTCTGGGAAACAACGTTAACATCCTCGTAACACGCCTCATCCTGCTCACGGAGGACCAGGTGCGAGTACCCGACCCCTTCCCTACCATATCAGCAGTGCTTGCCCTCCCCAGGGTGACTGGCATCCATGTGCCTCACTCTGTCCACCCTCAGCCCACCCTGGAGATCACCCATCATGCTGGGAAGTCCCTGGACAGCTTCTGTAAGTGGCAGAAATCCATCGTGAACCGCAATGGCCACGGCAACGCCATTCCGGAGAACGGTGTGGCCAACCACGATACTGCAGTACTCATCACACGGTGAGGGCCGGAAGGCTCTAGGACTTGGGTCAGGGGACTACCAAGGTCCAAGCTGGGAGGGTGAAGGAGAGACTGGGAAGCTTCGGCTATCCTTGGGGGAGCCAGGGACAGGAAGGGGCATGCAAATGTGGGGAGTACGTGATGGGCCATTTGGGCACTGATGCACTGACTGATGTATTCACTCTTCATTCATTCATTCATTCACTCACTCACACACATATCCCTGGCATCTCCAAAGTCAGCTGGGGCCAGTGCATAAATCTTCAAGTCTAGGCAGAGCTCAGCCTCCAGAGATGGGTGTCAGGGGATCCAAGGGGCTTAGGGAGGAGCCCAGTCCCCTCAGTCTCCTTATACTCCTCTCCTTCCACAGCTATGACATCTGCATCTACAAGAACAAACCCTGTGGCACCTTAGGTACCCAAGCCCCATAGATTATAGGCTCCTGTGAAGGAAGTGGGCTGTGGGACCCTGGCCCTAAGGGGACACCAGGCAAGGTGGATGGGGCTGGCTAGCCCAGCTCCGAGCCTCCAGCCCTAGTCCACATGCCCGTTTCCCAGGCCTGGCCCCTGTGGGTGGGATGTGTGAGCGTGAGCGGAGTTGCAGCATCAACGAGGACATCGGCCTGGCCACGGCATTCACCATTGCTCATGAGATTGGACACACGTGAGGCCCAGGGACACAGGAGGGGGAAAACAGCAGGGGCTGGGCGGGTCCTTGGTGTCCAGCAGAGCTAACACCACACTTTGCAGGTTCGGCATGAACCACGATGGCGTGGGGAACAGCTGTGGTGCCCGCGGCCAGGACCCAGCCAAGCTCATGGCTGCCCACATTACAATGAAGACCAACCCCTTCGTGTGGTCATCGTGCAGCCGTGACTACATCACCAGCTTTCTTGAGTGAGGACCTACCCACCCAGCCTGCCAAGAGGGGGTCACTCTTATGTTGGGCTGCCTCTAGGAAGGGTTCTGTCACCTGAGGCGGAGGATAAGGGCCGCTCCCTGGGAAGCCCCTGCATACTCCCAAACATGACATCTGCCTTCCTTTTGCCACAGCTCAGGCCTGGGGCTGTGTCTGAACAACCGGCCCCCCAGACAGGACTTTGTGTACCCGACTGTGGCGCCTGGCCAGGCCTATGATGCAGATGAACAGTGCCGCTTCCAGCATGGAGTCAAATCGCGTCAGTGTAAATACGGGGTAGAGAGAGCCTTCCTGCTTTCCTTCCTGGGAGGGGCGAGGGCACGACCACCAGGGTGGGGGTGAGCCCTTGGGGTGGGGCTGGGAGGACAGGGGTACGGGGTGTACAGATGTCACAAACAGATGATCCTCAGAACAAGACAGGTTTCTAGGATGAAACTCTTGGTTCTCCAGACCCTTCCAGATTTGGGGGCTGGAGAGAGCCCCAAGAAGCCCACTCTGTCTAGCACCTCAAGCTACCTGTGGGCTGCAGAAGATCAAAGTCTTAAGACCCCTAAGTGGGCAGTTTTTAACCAAGTGGCCAGACATAGTAAAGGTCGTTTCCTAGGGGATGTGCCTTCTTCCCTCCTTGGCAGAGCACTGGACCAAGCCTTCCAGGAACACCATGTCTTCACTCTCCTTGTCCCTACAAGCCTGCTTGGCCTCAGCCGTTGGCCAGAGGTCTCTGAGCCTCCTGACCACTCCTCCTCTCTCTCAAGGTTTAGACTCAGCTCCTGAAGCTCCATCTGTGCATAGAGAAAGCACCAAGGTCCCACAGTCCCACCAGCTACCCCCAGAAATTTCAAGACCTGCTAATTTCCTGCCTCAACCACCAGAGGCCACTGCTCAGCCAGGGTCTACCCCTTGGCTCCCTAAAAACTCCCCGACTCCTAGAGCCCTGAGCCCAGTCCCAACTCTCCATGCCTTCAAGACTCAAAGGATCAGAAAGTTTGTACAACCATGTTCAAGTTAACACTATGGCAACTTAAAGTGGGCAGTGGGTGGCTGTTAAAATGCACTCACTTCATTTTCTTGATTCACACTGAACAGCTACCAATTGAAGAGAAGGAGACAAACCCTGGAACAATTTCTATTAGCAATCCATGCTTGTGCCCCACCCCAGCCCTAACTTGGCTAGTAACTTCAAGGCCTTCCAGTGACCCTTGAGAAGCTACTGCATCCTGGATATTCTAACAACATTTACTGAGCACTCACTATGTGCTAAGCATGTCATATGCATCATCTCACTTAAACCCCAAGCAATCTTATGATCCCCATGTTACAGATGAAAGGACTGCTGCCTAGGTAGGTAGACTTGTTCAGGATCACAATTTGAGGACATGGTAGAGCTGGAATTTGAACCTAGGTCTCTCTCTGACTCCAGATTTTAAAAGGCAGGGGAGAGAGAACCCATCAGAATATCAGGCTTGGGTTGATGCTGGCTATATGTTGAATTGAGGAAATATATTTACTATGTATAAGTGGGCTAATATATGTAAAGAGCTAGGCCTGGTGCCTAGTCCAGGGATATCTGTGGTCATTGTTACCCAGTAATAGGGAATTTGTTCAAGCCCTGTCATGTTTACCTCACAGCCTTGTAATATAGGAAAACAGGTATTAGCTTACCTCTCCTATAGACGAGGAGACTGAGGCCCAGAAAGGGGAATTGTGTTGCAAGTAAGTGGTTGAGTTGAGGCCTCCCAGAGTGGACCGGGACTTATTTAGCTACACCACAGTGCCCCCTTAGGGAGAAGAAGCCTGAAGCCAAGCTGGAATAGATGTTCTCTTTAAGAGGTGTCAGAAGTGGGATTGGGGCCAGACTAATATATTTAGAAATGGCCAGAGGGACATGGTCTAAGTGAAGTGAAAACTGAGTTTTCAGCCAAGAAATGGTTTCTGAGAGGACAGAACATGGGGACATTCTGGAGCAGATGTGATGGAACAGACAAACCTTCAAACTCCTCATGGGTAGGCATGGCCCTTCCTACAGCCATGAGTGGGTCAAATCCCAAATTCTTAAAGCTTGGGAGGACTAGGTTTCAAGAGAGAAGTGCATGTCTTTATAAAAGGGTTGGGGCATCACCCTTCTCAGAAGACCCTTTGAGATGGACAGTATATAAACTAAATGGCCTGAGGTATGGCCCTAGCTGAACCCATTGTGGCTGATCTCACCTCCTACCAGGGACAGGACTTGTTGCCAGGCTTGGGCCAGCCCAGGCAGGATTCAAACAAAAAAACAATAGGCTGATTTCTCACTGAAGAAAGAACATCATCTCATACAGGACCCAACCTGACCTTGACCCCTCCTCCGTTCCCCATACCTTAAAAACTTTGGGGGTTTCCCCAATTTAGAGGCACCAGGAGAACCACCCAGCTGGGGAAATCAGAGCTGGATGGAGCCCTTGAACTGGGCCACCTTCAGGCCTGATTTTTCAGAACCACTGCTATCCCCCAAAAGAAGCCAGATTCCTTCCTATTCGGCCCTCCTTAGCAGGTCCCAAGCTTCCTCTGGACACAGATGTTAGTAGCTGTGACCTTAACCTGTCTGATCCTTGGCTTTCTCGCGGTAAAATGGAGAAATAATGCCTAAAGGTAAAGCCCATAGTTGTTTCATAAGCACGGGTTATTGGTGGAGGAGGGGCCCCAAGCCATACCCCAAAAGAGGACCCAAGAAGACCCTGTGAGATGCAGGAGAGGAGCGCTGGAGCCCTGCCCCAGGCCGGCAGTGAGCAGGACGTCAGGGTCCTCCCGAGCCGGGCGGGCTGCCTGAGGGAGGGAGAAGGGAGGGCGAGCCTGAGCGGGCGCCTCGGCCCGCAGGAGGTCTGCAGCGAGCTGTGGTGTCTCAGCAAGAGCAACCGGTGCATCACCAACAGCATCCCGGCCGCCGAGGGCACGCTGTGCCAGACGCACACCATTGACAAAGGGGTGAGCGCCGGCCACGCCCCTCGCGTTTGTGTAGGGGTTGGGCCCGCCCCCTGCTCATGACCAGCTGTCTAGGCCACGCCCCTACGCTCCTGCCTGTCTCTTCCCGGCTCTCAGGCCCCGCCCTTGTCCTTACTCATCCACGCTGTCCCTGAGGGGCTTGGGAAGGGGGCGGGGCCGGACTCACCGCTGGTCCCTTCCCCATCGCCTTAGTGGTGCTACAAGCGCGTGTGCGTTCCCTTCGGGTCGCGGCCAGAGGGCGTAGACGGAGCCTGGGGCCTGTGGACCCCGTGGGGCGACTGCAGCCGGACGTGTGGCGGCGGCGTGTCCTCCTCCAGCAGGCACTGCGACAGCCCCAGGTCAGCCCTCGAGAGCTCCCCACAGGTGAGCGGGGCCGGTCCCCGCCCCTGTCCTCCCTCCCCACCCCATCTCTTTCCTTCCTCCCTCCTCCAGGCCGACCATAGGGGGCAAGTACTGCTTGGGCGAGAGACGGCGACACCGGTCCTGCAACACGGACGTGAGTCCCCTCAGAACCCCAAGCCCTTTATCCTTGGTCCCTTTGCCCTCGGGGAACAGCTCCAGGGCCTGCAGCACCCACACCTGTTCCTGGACCCCTGCTTCATCCCCTCGCATTTTCTCAGTAATCTGGCCCTTTCTGACTCTTTTTTTCTTTTAGTATTTTATTTACTTTTGGTGGCAGTATGTATAACCAATCATACATCCACTCACAGTTTTCCCACACACAGTTCAAGTAACACTGGTTCCATTTTTGACACCGTTACCTTTCTCCCGGCCTCTGCCGGTACTGTTTCCTCACCATTAGTGTAGACCCTGCCCTTCAAGGTCTCTCATCCGCTTCAGATGGACTAAAGCAGTTAGCGGTTTCTCACAGCCGTCAAGTCGATTCTGACCCATCACGAGCCCTATTGGGGTTCCTGGGCTGTAAAGTTTACAGAAGCAGACCCCTTCATCTTTCTTCCACAGAGCGGCTGGGGGGTTTGAACCGCGGGCCTTTTGGTAAGCAGCCAAATGCCTCAACCACTGAACTACCAGACTCTTGTTAGCAGTTTAAGCTCATATAATTATTTATAGGAGTGCCTAAGGCATCTGACTGCTAACCAGAAGGCTGGCAGTTCAAACTCACCAGCCACTCCTCAGAAGGAAGATTGGACAATCTACTTCCATAGAGACACCACCTTGGAAACCCAAGGAAGGGTCGCTATGAGTCGTGATCCACTCAGCGGCAGTGAGTTGGTTGGTTGGTTGGTTTTGGTATGCTCAAAGCAAACGTTTCTATTAAAATTGTTTACTTGAATCATGGCTTCATGAGATAGTTTCAGCTTAAAGTTTAAAGGTTGATTCTGAGCATTAGGTGTGGGTGTTCCCTCAGTCTCAGTAGATCTATGAGTTTGAGGTTCGGTTCCATTCTTCCCCTGCTTTTGATCTGGATCCATCTGTCGGGTCCTCTGTCAGAGTGGTCAGTCATGGCAGCCAGGCACCATCCAGTTCTGCTTTCACAGTGATTACCCTTTTCTTTATATGTTCAAACTCAGCAGGTAACTCTCCCCCCTTGAAATAGTCCCTGGATTCCCATAACCCTCTGCAGTTACAGCCCGGTCTGCCCCTCCCCCACTGCCCTCTGCCACCCACTTCCAGCAACATCACTGAGCTCCCCCTCACCAAGCCCCCTTGCCCTCTAGCCCAGAGACCACTGTCTCCATTCTGCAGCCCCCCTTAACTTCCTGTACTTCCAGTCACCACTCCCTCAGTCTCTCTCGGCTTGTAGCTTCCCTGTCTCTTTTAAGCCAAACCAGTTGCCATCAAGTCAGTTCCAACTCCTAACGACCCCGTGTGTATCAGAGTGGAACCATAGGCTGTAGGGTCTTCAGGGGCTGATTTTTCTGAAGTAGTTCACCAGGCCTTTCGTCCTGGGGCTTTTCCTCCACTGTTTGTTAATACTAGCTTTCCCCATGGCTGGGGGCCGGATGTAGACAAGTCTTACGTGTACACAGCTGTCCACTACTTGTCACTGGAGGAACTCATGTCTCCAGGACACTCAGAAGTTCAAAACGGGACTCCGCATTTTCCCCAAAACCTGCTCCCACCTAGGCCTCTCTCTCAAGAAAGACCCCACTGTCGTCTGCAGCCAGAATCCCAGCCGTCATCCCCAGCTTGCCCCAGCCTCTGATGAGGTCTGTTGTTGGCTGCTGAGGTGGCCCCTGACTCATGGCAACTGCATGCACAACAGAACCAGATGCTGCCCAGGCCTGCGCCATCCCCGTGGTCAGCTGAGGATTAGACTGTTGGGATCCACAGGGTTCTCACTGGGTGATTTTCAGATGTTCATTACCAGGCCTTTCTTCCTAGTTTTAATCTGGAAGCTCCATTGAAACCTGTAGTTCCACTTGAAATGCATCCCAGCGAGGCCCCCATCTGTCTCCTTGGGGCCAGCACAGCCTCTGCCCCAACTCCAGCCCCCTCATCTGGCCTCCCTCTCCCTCATACCCCCAGGACTGTCCTCCCGGCTCCCAGGACTTCAGGGAGATGCAGTGCTCTGAGTTTGACAGTGTCCCCTTCCGTGGAAAGTTCTACACGTGGAAGACATACAGAGGAGGTGAGTGGGGGTCTCGGAGGGCAGCGTGGGAGTGCTTAGTGGATGCTGCGTCATGGGCTCTGCCCTGAGCTGAGTGCCCAGAGTTGGGCTCCATGGTGCTGGATGCTGAGAACTCCCTGCTCAGCCCACCCACCCAAGTTGGGACTGGGCTCTGGCCCTTTGGCCTCACATCCCATGGGAAGAGGGCAGTGGTCCAGGGCCCTCGGTGTGACGGGGCTGTGCCCCCCAGGGGGCGTGAAGGCCTGCTCACTCACGTGCCTAGCAGAGGGCTTCAACTTCTACACGGAGCGGGCAGCAGCTGTGGTGGACGGGACGCCCTGCCGCCCCGACACGGTGGACATCTGCGTGAGCGGCGAGTGCAAGGTGGATGAGACCCCTGGGAGAATGGGTTGTAGGGGGCCAGGTGGGTGTCTCACTGATCCTTCAACCCCACCCTTCCCAGCACGTGGGCTGTGACCGGGTTCTGGGCTCTGACCTGCGTGAGGATAAGTGCCGTGTATGTGGTGGCGATGGGAGTGCCTGCGAGACCATCGAGGGGGTCTTTAGCCCCACCCTGATGGGGGCCGGTAAGAGACCTCAGCTTCCCTCCCATCCTCCTGCTTGGGGCCAGGCGGTCGGGGCAGGACTTTATAGCCAAGATCAGGAATCCCTGGGACCCTGGAGCCCCCCAGACCTGGGTTAGGAAGGACGACCTCAGTGACTGCTTACAGCAGACCCTTGTGCTAAACCTTGGTAGTTAGGGTGTTTTAGGTGATGCGAGGGAGTCCCTGGGTGGTGTGACTATTTAACGTGCCGGCTGCCAACCCAAAGGTTGGAGGTTCAAGTCCACCCAGAGCTGCCTTGGAAGAAAGGCCTGGCGATCTACTTCCACAGACTCAGCCCTTGAAACCCTGTGGGGCACAGCTCTGCTCTGATTACACCTGGGGTTGCCATGAGTCAAAATAGACTCAACACCAACTGATTTTTGGTGTTTTAAAGGGATGGGAGCCCAAGTTTCCCCATTTCCAGACTTGGGGGGAGGTCTTGTGCCAAGTCACAAGAGGTCCCTTTGAGCCACAAGAGACTGAGAGGCTCGTTGTCTATGTGAACAGGAAAAGGCTTACCAGAGGAAGGGGTAATCAGAGTGTGGAGAGCTTAATCGACCTTCCTGGCCTAAGGGAGAAAGTGCTTTGAGAAGGAGAAAGGTCCATGGCGGGAAGGTTTCAAAAACTCTGGGGAAGGTGGTGCTAATGCTGCCAGAAGGAGGGAGTGTGCAGGGTGAGATGGGGGAGACCCACCAGACGGGAGCTCACAGGCCCACCAGGAGCAGGTTGCCAACATGGGGTTTCATTCCCCTGTTGTTGTTGTTGTTGTTGTTATGTGCCGTCGAGTCGGCCCCGAATTATAGCGACCCCTCCTTGGGTTTCTGAGGCAGTATCACTACAGAAGTAGATTGCCCCACCTTCCTTCTGAGGAGTGGCTGGTGGGTTTGAACCACCAGCCTTCTGGTTAGCAGTCAAGTGCCTTAAGCACTACGCTACCAGAGCTCCGTTCATTCCCCTAGCAGGGTTAGATTGGGGTTTGGCAAAGGCCAGATTGGCAGCTGGTGTCATAAGTAGGATAACGTGACTGGGAGTCAGGAGGGACAGTGAAGATAGAGAAGAAGGAGATGGCCTCAAGACAGATTCAGGAGCTAGCACAGCAGGCCCTGGGGACTGACTGGAGGTAGTGGGGAGGGAGACAGGGCTCCACACCCACATCCATGTGAACAACGTGGACAATGGGCTATCTTTAAAACTAGGGCTAGCAGGGAGAGCAGGAAAGGTGCTGAGTTAGGACGTGGGGAGCTTGAGAGGGGTCTGAAGGACATCACAATGAGGACAGTGAGGGTCAGGTGGGTCCCAGAAAGAGAGCTGAGCAGGTGATGGAGATTGGGGGTCCTCAGGCCTGGGGGACACTGATCTGACCCCCAGAATTCAGAAGAGCTGATTGATCCCTGCCCTGGGGGTAAGAGATTGTACCCTGGATGCAGGGAAAGTGGGCCCAGACACAGCGAGACTCCAGTGCAGGGTTTAGGGAACGATGGGGGTCCAGGCAGATAAGCCAGGACTCACGGGGAGCACAAGTGGGCCAAGTTAGAGGATTCACAGGTCCAAGGTCATCCAGGTAGTAAGTGGTGGATCCAGTTGCAAACCCAGCTCTGACTATACTAGACACCGCACCATGTCACGCTATGTGAGTCAAAGTCTCTGCCACGGCCCCTCCCCTCCACCTATTGTTGCTGTTACCTAGGCCTGCTTATTGGGGTGGTGGAGGAGTCATACCATTTTGGTGATTGGAGAGGTAGGAAAGTTTGGGTTCAAATCCCAGCCCAACCGCTCGCTAGCTCTAAAACCTGGGGGATTTGCTTAGCTTCTCCGGGCCTCAGTTTTTCCATTGAATTCATGGGCTGGAGTGGGATGCAGTGGGATGTCATGTGAGCACTTAGCAGGACCTGGTACACAGAGAGCTCTGTATGGTTAGCTGTGAGCATCAGGGGCCAGAGGTGGGGGAGGAGGCAGGTGTCCAGGACAGGCCATCTGGGCACATCTGAGCTCCACTGTCCAGGGTACGAGGAAGTCGTCTGGATCCCCAAAGGCTCCGTCCACATTTTCATCCAGGACCTGAACCTCTCCCTCAGTCACCTGGGTGAGCCAGAAGTGGGGGGATGGGCATTGAGGGCCAGCGGTGGGAGGTCAGCATGGCTGAAGTCCTGACCCCTGCACCATCCCCCAGCCCTGAAGGGGGACCATGAGTCCCTGCTGCTGGAGGGGCTGCCAGGGACCCCTCAGCCCCACCGCCTACCCCTGGCCGGAACCACCTTTCAGCTGCGACAGGGGCCAGACCGGGCCCAGAGCCTAGAAGCCCTGGGACCCATCAATGCATCTCTCGTTGTCATGGTAACAGCAGGCCCAGAGGGCACTGGGGGAAGCGGCTGGAGCTCACCTAGAGCCTCCTCATGACCCCTCCAATGCCCCCTCCCCAGGTGCTGTCGCGGTCAGAGCTGCCTGCCCTGCGATACCGCTTCAACGCACCCATCGCCCGCTACGCACTGCCCCCCTACTCCTGGCACTACACGGCCTGGACCAAGTGTTCTGCCCAGTGTGCAGGCGGTGAGGCCAAGAGGAGCTGGGACGTGGGTACTGGGCACCCAGGCAGGGGTCTGGGCTGGCAGGGCTGAGCGGGCCTCTCGCCCCGCCCCAGGTAGCCAGGTGCAGGCTGTGGAGTGCCGCAGCCAGCTGGACAGCACCGCTGTGGCCCCACACCACTGCAGCGCCCACAGCAAGCTGCCCAAGAGGCAGCGTGCCTGCAACACGGAACCCTGCCCGCCAGAGTGAGTGCCAGCGTGTCACCTGGGTCAGGGGAGAGTGCTCCTGGGGGTGGGGAGCAGGTCAGGGCTGAGTCGGAGTGACAGTGCTCCCAAGATGGGGGAGCCCGTGTTGGTGGGCGTCAGGGTTACAGCATGTCTGTAATTGGGGCACTAGTGCTCCTCAAGCTGGGGCAGGGTCAGAACGCTGGTATTCCCTAGGCAAGCCAACTATCCCAGGTCCTCGTCTCCCTTTAGGGTAATGAATGCACTGCCCCAATCTAGGTGAGGGTGCAGGTTCCGTAAGGATGATGGGGGTGTAGAGACGTTGGTGCCCCAGGGTCAGGGTGCGGCAGCACACCCACGCTGACCTGTGAGCCATCCCGCCCCCTCCCCCTTCGCAGCTGGGTTGTAGGGAACTGGTCGCGCTGCAGCCGCAGCTGTGATGCTGGTGTGCGCAGCCGCTCGGTTGTGTGTCAGCGCCGCGTGTCAGCAGCTGAGGAGAAGGCGCTGGACGACAGCGCATGCCCACGGCCACGCCCACCCGTGCTGGAGGCCTGCCAGGGCCCCGCCTGCCCGCCGGAGTGGGCGGCCCTCGACTGGTCTGAGGTCAGCCACCTCTTCTTCGGTGCCCAGCCCACACCCTGTGCGGAAAAGGAAGAGGCCGGCATGGTCCCAGAATCTATGAGCCTGTCCCACCAGCCCTGGTGTTGTTACGTGCTGTCAAGTCAGACCTGACTCATAGCAACCCCTCCTTGGGTTTCCCAGGCGGTATCACTAGGGAAGTAGATTGCCCAACCTTCCTTCTGAGGAGTGGCTGGTAGGTTTGAACCGCCATTCTTCTGGTGAGCAGTCAAGTGCTTTAGGCACTACGCTGTCAGAGCTCCTACCTTCAGCTTGTCCAAGTTAGCTGCGTCCCCGTCCGCCTCCCACTGCACCTTCTGAGTGACTGGGGTGCCCACTTCCTGCACTCGGGATGATGGTATCCTCTGAGGCATGAAACATCCCTTCCAACTCCAGTGCACCCCCAGTTGTGGGCCTGGCCTCCGCCACCGCGTGGTCCTTTGCAAAAGCGCTGACCAACGTGCAACACTGCCCCCCGCACACTGCCCACCCGCAGCTAAACCACCAGCCACCATGCGCTGCAACTTGCGCCGCTGCCCTCCTGCCCGCTGGGTGGCGGGCGAGTGGGGTGAGGTAAGCAGGCTTGCCCCAGGTGGGGGGCGGGGGCGGGGCGGGGCCGGGGAGGAGGTGGCAGCTCAGTGGTCACTCCCCCTAGTGTTCCGCGCACTGCGGCCTTGGGCAGCAACAGCGTGCTGTGCGCTGCACCAGCCACATGGGCCTGCCGTCCCGCGAGTGCACTGAGGCGTTGAGGCCGCCCGCCACACAGCAGTGTGAGGCCAAGTGTGAGACCACACCCACCGAGGACGGCCCCGAAGGTACAGGAGACAGGGATGAGGTACCGGGAGGGGCCCTGTCCAGAAGCAAGGAAACCACAGGAGGGCTTTGGGGGGACTTGGCCAGTGAGTGACCCTGTACTTTCTCAAACTATCAAAATGTTCTTCCCCATTTCCTACAAGTCATCTGTCCTATGCCCTCCTCACACATTTATTAAGTGCCACTGTGCTACTACACAAAGTCCCTGAGGACATAAATGTAAACAGTTTGGTCTCAACGGCTAACCCAAAGGTTGATAATTCAAACCTACCTGGTGGTACCGTGGAAGAAAGACCTGCTTCTTAAAGGTCAAGGCCATGGGAAAATTGTGGAGCAGTTCCACTTTGTACACATTGGGTTGCCATGAGTCAGGAACTTGCCAACAATAGGTTTTGGTTTTTTGGTTTATGGTACTCCAAAACTCAGCTCCTTCCTGATGACATGGGAACATAAGCGTCCTTTGACAGCTGAAGGAATCCCTGGGTGTTACAAATGGTTAACGCACTTGGCTGCTAACCAAGAGGTTGGAGGTTCACGTCCACCGAGAGGGGCCTCAGAAGAAAGGCCTGGTGATCTTCCAGTCCGTCACTGACAACCCTGTGACACACATGGTGTTGTCATGAGTCAGAATCAACTCCAGGGCAACAGTTTGGTTTGACAGTTGAGGGTATCATAGCAGAGAGACTAGGTCATGACTAGGAAGCACTATGCTGGCATGAGGAGGGGCGCAGAGATCTGATTCCCTCCTCCTTGTACAACCAGAGTGCAAGGATGTGAACAAGGTCGCCTACTGCCCCCTGGTGCTCAAATTCCAGTTCTGCAGCCGAGCCTACTTCCGCCAGATGTGTTGCAAAACCTGCCAGGGCCGCTAGAGGCACGCGGCACCCGGAACCACAGCGGGGCGCCGGCGACGGGGAGGGGGGTGTTCAGGCCTGCCCTTGGCGGGGCCGAGGGGCGGAGCAGGCGGAAGCTGGGAGGGAAGGGTAGGGTGGAGCTTGAAGTTATTTATTGGGAAGCCCTGCAGGCCTCCTGACTGGGGGATGGGGAGGGGATGGCCACCTCCTGGCCCCTTCCTCATTCCCTCTCCTGGTTCATACCGTAAGACCCCCTCCAGGGTGGGAGAGGGAGACACTTGTTCTCCCCTAGACCCTTTAACCCACCCCTAGGGAGCCCCTTTGATGAGACTATGTACTGTGAAGAGTGGGGGTGGAGGGGGGTCTACCGGTGCCCTGCCCCCCAGCACTGCCCCTCCTTCCCCACTCTGAGCTGGGAGAGAAGGTTTAGCACCACCTCCATGACGCCTTCCCCGACCTGACCAGCTACAGGGGTGGTGAAGAGCTGGGAAGACACACCTCAACCTCAGCCCTGCCTGTGCCAGGGGGACCCTGACATCCAGCTGCACCCCATCATGGTGCTACAGGCCCTGCCCTGGGGCCCACAGACCCCTCACTGGGACGCCCCCCATCAATAAAGTTCTGTCTTGTGTAGATTCCCGCGTGGAGGTGGGTGTGTGTCCGTGTGTGGGTCACATCCAGCCCCTTCCCCCCAGCCCCTCACAGGTGGGCCCCCGTACCAAAAGGGAGCTTTATCAAAACAGACAAGGGAAAGGGCAGAGCCTCACGGAGGCTCTCAAAGCTACCCGGTGTGGCGCTGGCCACCCCAAGCTGCCAGACTCCCAGGCACTCGCAGCTCCAGGCACTGCCGGCTCCGTGAAGTTCCTCAATCTTGCCCCCTCCTTCCACCTCCGGGCATTTTCTCCAGTCATTTACTCCTCTGGGAACACTCCCCTCCCCGTCTTCACCTGATAACTCCAACTCACCCTCGAGCCTCAGCGCCAACGTCACCACCTCCCAGAAGCCCGCCCTGCATGGTGGAGTTCGCCTTAGCGCCTAGAGGCATCGCTGAGGTCCGCGTGTCCAAACCTTGGTCAGCAAAGGCCCCAAGATTCAGGGCGGGACGGGCTTCCTATCTTTGGCCACTAGGGGGCGGCTCGTCCCGATACGGTCTAGGCGGGAAGCTGGTGAGAGGTCGTGGCGTGGATCAAACGCCCATCCCAGCCAGGCTGCCTCAGGGTCAGGTTTTGCCTCAGCTACCTCCTGGCGCTCTGGTAGCATAGTGGCTAAAGCACTTGACTGCTAACCAGAAGGCTGGCGGTTCAAACCCACCAGCTACTCCTCAGAAGGAAGGTTGGGCAATCCTACTTCCGTAGTGATACTGCCTCGGAATCCCAAGGAGGGGTCACTATGAGTCGGGCCGGCTCGACGGCACATAACAACAACATACTGGCCCGCGGTATGGGGAAAGGACCACCTCCTGGAATTGCCATCTCCTCAAATGCCACGAGGACATGACTAACTGGAGTGCTGATCTCCTGGCGATCACCGTCGGCCATATGCGCCCTACAATGAGATACAGAGGTGGTGGGAGTTCAAGGCGCCCAGGAAGTAGAAGAGCTGGAAGTTAAACCCAGAGCTGACATTCAAAGCCTGGAACCTTCCAGGTACACCTGGCTCCTGATGGCTGCCACTCCCCCACCTCCACCCCCAGACACACCTGCAGGGACAGCTCTGGAAGAGGAAGTTTGCTTTCCCTGGGTGGCGCAGACAGTCAAGCACTCCACTACTAAAGGAAAGGTTCGTGGTTCAAGTACACCTTGAGGCAGCTTGGATCTGCTTCCAAAAGGTCACAGCCTGGAAACCTGTGGAGGAGCACTGTTCTGCTCTGACATGCAAGGGGTCGCTATGCATCCAGGGCAATTCGAAGGCAGCTGGTTTGTTTTTCACCCAGAGTAGACACACATCTGAAGAGATGCTTCCCTCCACAGAGTTTTGAGCCATCTGAGGAGCCCTAACGCTTCTCGGGGCTGCCCTGAGAAAGGCCTCCAGTCCCGCAGCCAGCCAACCTGAGTGCTCCTTGCTGCAGCCTTGTCCACAAGCAATTGGAGAAGGGGCCTCCTGGGATCTGGCAGTGGGTGTCATCAGTCCTTGGCCTCTTCCTTCAGGGCCAGAGCCCCAAACAGCCAGTTCCCCACAACCTCACCGCGGCACCCCAGCTCTGTCCCCGCCTCCAGCTTCCCTCTTCCGTGGTGTAGCCCCTCCCGGCAAAGGAAGTGAGAGGGGTGCTGTTGTAAGAGGAACTGAGGCCAGGAGTTGGGTGAAAGAGCTGGATCAAGGCCATGGCCCAGCCGCCCCCCGCGGCCCCGTGAGCCTGCACACTGGCCAGGACCTACCCGGGTAGCCCCAAGGGCCCAGACATCTATTCTCACCATGGTGAGTCCTTCAGGGGTGGGCCCTGGAAGTGGAAGGGTGGGGGATGCCAGCCCTGGAGATGACCATCAGAAAGTGGGGTGGTTGGAGGTGCACAGCTGACCCTTGGGGGTCCCTTGTCTTGCCCCCAGTGCAGCTTAGGTGTCCCCTGGCATCTCTCACCAAGCTCCCAAACGATGCTGGCTGGGATGCCAGAGTGGTGACAGGGACCAGGGACAGCAGTACCTGGAAGAAGAGTCCGTGGTCCTGAAGGGTCACAGCGTCTGCAGGGACAATGATATACCCCCTTCTGGGGGATTAAGGGACCAGTTTCCAGCCTGGCTCGGCCCCTCCATTCTCTTAGGTGGCCTTGGGCAAGTCACTTCCCCTCTTGGGACCTCGGTTCCCCCATGTGTCATATTTGGAAGTCAGTCTAGAGGTGGAAGGTGTTCTCTGAGGCCTCTCGGTTGGAGCGTTCGGAGGGTCTGTGGGTTTGGCCACAGCTGACAAGGGAAGCTGTCAGATGGGCTGTGGGATGGCGATGTCGTGACGGCATGCCTGCACAGGTGACAGGATGGTGTAGCTGAAGCAGTCACAGGGGCAGGAGACAACGAGACTGAGTGTGTCTGCACCATCCTGGGTCACACTGTCCTTGGGAAGACGGCAGGGTGACACTGTACCAGGGGCATCACTGCCTGCAGAGACTGAGGTCTGATGGTGACGGGACAGCATTGAGGAGATCTGTGGTCATGGGTTCAGACCCTGCTGCACCTGTAATGCACACAGCAACAGGGAGCTTGGTCCTCCTGTAAGTCCCCACAGTACTCTGCAAGTCACTTCAGCTTTCATTTTCTGTCACCTTGTCAGTCAGTCATGATGAGAGTGTGTGTGGCTGAGACAGGGCTCCTGGTGGTTGCAGAGGGGGCCAACCGGGGAGGAGGTAGGATGGTGGAGGAGGCGGCAGCTGTGTTAGTCCGGAGAGAGACTGAGAAAAAAGAAAGACAAAGTTGTCGTCAAATCAACTCCGATTCATGGTGACCCCTCACGATACAGAGTAGAACTGCTCGAAGGGTTTTCTTGGCTGTGATCTTTAGGAAAGCAGACTGGCAGGCCTGTCGTCTGAGGCACAGATGCATGGGTTCAAACCAGCAGCAGTCACGAAGCCAATGATAAACTGAGCTTCCCTGGCCAAGGAGCCCTCGGGGTCCTTCAGGACCAAACCATCAGCTCTCTGGGTTTCAGAGCTCGCAGCTCCAGCCACTCCAGGCTCCGTGAAGTTCCTCCATCTTACCCGCCTCTTTCCAAGCTCCGGGCCTTTTCTCCAGCTGCTTACTCCTCCGGTAACGCCCTCCCCTCCCCTCCTTCACCTGCTCACTCCAGCTCACCCTGGAGGCTCAACACCAACATCGCCACCTCCCAGAAACCCACCCTGAGCCCCAGCAAAGTGGACTCTGCCTTAGCACCAGAAGGCATCGTGGAGGTCCGCATACCCAAGCCTTGGTCAGCTTAGCAAACGCCCCAAGATTCAGGGTGGAGCTCCCTCAAAGTTGAATCCCCGCCAGGGAGGTTCCGGAGATGAGATGGGTAGACTTTGATTAGAACACGAGAAATGATTTGCTGCTTGAGACAAGAGCAGCCCCTCCTAAGGAACACCGTGCAAAAGGCTGAGTCGACAGTTTGCCTGGCAGATGGGGTCTGGGAGGGGAGGAACTCATGATAGTGGAGGATACAGAAGAAAACAAGTGTGGCCTGCCCATCAGTGCACAGAGTGCTGGGTGCCCGAGAGGCCACCACCCTGGGTAGAGGTGCCAGAATCTTCCTGGGGGGGGTGGTGTCAGGGAGAACGCTGGAAAATTCAACCAAATGTTCATAACGTCCTCAGTACACAGGAGCTGCCACCTGGGATGGGCCTGCTGGTGCTTCTGGGTCCCTGGGTGGTGCCAACAGTTTGTGCTCAGCAACTAACCTGAAAGTTGGCAGCTCAAACCCTCCGAGTGTTGCCATGGAAGAGAGGCCTGGCAATCTGCTTCTGTCAAGATTATAGTCCGTTCCATTCTGAAACACATGGGGTTGCCATGAGTCAGAACTGACTTGATAACAATGGGTTTGGTTTGGGGGCTATTCGTGGTTCAGCTACCATGCAGGTGGCCCAGGTTCGATTCCCACCCAATGCACTGCATGCACAGCCAACACCCGTCTGTCACTCTGTCACACTTTGGCTTGCGTTGGCTGTGACGTTGGAAGCTCTGCCTTTTCAGATCCCAGCAGGGTCGCTCATTCATTCATGGTGGACAGGTTTCGGCGAAACCCAGCTCAGACAAACTAGGAAAAACGGCTGGGTGATTTAGCTCTGAAAATTAGGTTAATAAGAACCTATGGGTCACAGTGGATTTACAACAGGTCGTGGGGTGGCACAGGACTAGGTGGTGTCTCGGTCTGTTGTGCACGGGGTCACCATGGGTTGGTAGTTCACCACCACCGCTTCGGAGAATGCTCTTTCATTGCTCAGCTTAGCAATGGCAGTGGCTGGTGACGACGCGTGACTGCTGAGTAAGGAAGCTGGTGTTGACGGTTGTCACCCATGGCTGCAGCTTCATGCTGGATCGCTGGTGTCAGTGTTGGTGGTGATGGTGGTGGGTCAGTGGTAACAATGGTTCTTGTGGGTGGGTTAGTGGTGGTGATGGTTACTTCTGCCGACAGCCCATAGTTCACGTTGGTTGTTTTCATCTGAAGCAGTGCTGCTTGGTGATGGGTAGAATGATGGCAGTTGGTGTCTGCTGTCACTTGGAGTTGGGTGTT